TAATTTGTTCATGGAGGAATTTGAAAAGAAGGCCTTAGCTACTGCAAAGTTGAAACCAAGTTTCTGGTTCAGATACGTGGATGATACATTGAGTAGCTGGTCTCATGGACTAGATAATTTACAAAAGTTTCTAGACTACATTAATAGTTTGCATCCATCGATCAAGTTTACTTTTGAATTACAGAAGGATGATAAAACTATACCGTTCTTAGATGTTCTTTTCACTATACATGATGATGGGTCGCTAGGACATAAGGTTTATAGGAAACCAACACATACAGACAGGTATCTGCATTATAATTCATTTCATCATCCTAGTATTAAGAACTCTGTGTGCAAGACACTCATCAACCGAGCGAAAACAATTTGTGAGGTAAGTAACATTGACGATGAATTAGAACATTTAAGAAATGTTCTAAAAATGAATGGTTACCCACGGCATTTCATAGATAATGCTATGAAAACGCAAAGTATAAAGCAGAAGATTGAATATCAGTCGTCTGTTTGTCTACCATACATTGGTCCGGCTTCACACAAAATCGAAAGAATTTTGAGGAATGAAGCAGGTATAAAGGTATACCATTCCAGCGAAAACAAATTGTTTCGAGCACTATGCACACATAAGGACAACATAAATGAATATCAGAAACCTGGTGTGTACCGCATTCCTTGTGAATGTGGTCTGGTTTACATTGGTGAAACTGGTCGAAATCTCTCAGTACGTCTTAAGGAACACAAGACGAATTGCGAGAAAGCCGAGCAAGATAAATCTGCTGTGGCTAAACATACTTGGACTTACGACCATCGTATAAAATGGGACGAAGCAACCATTTTGGCGATTGATAGTCATAAGTTCTCTCGCAAAATGAGAGAGTCAATTGAAATCGAGAAGCACAATACTATAGATCAGGAGGGAACGCCACTAGATAGTACGTGGCGTGCTCTCTTTAATGTGCAAAATTAATTTCTCTTGTCTTGGATGTGCACGTTAATTGGAATCAGTTCATTACGTTTGAAATGACGTGGTTGATGTGCCGTTTAATTAAATTTCAAATGACGCGAGCCAACAGATCACGACACTCTTGTATATAAACCGAGCGTGTGAATTAAACAAGTCACATATTATTAGCACTGATGAAGATCCGGGCTTACGGATCGAAAGCTTTGCAGTAATAAATTTACGTGGTGTTTCCACAAACAAAAACAATTATTAACTCATTTATTGTATTCCAAATTTCTTTGGTATTTCCTTTGTTGACTGCCAACAACCGGTGATAGTAATCTCTTTTTGCTTCTTTCAGCATATTATTACACTTATTTCAGGCAAGTATAAAGTGAAGCCAATTATTTGTATCATTAGAAATCACCGCTTTTCTTTTTAGTTTGTCACGATTTATCAAAAGTGTTTTTATTTCAGGGGTCATCCAAGGATTGTTTTTATTTCGTACTCGCTTGCTTTTGAATGGCGCATGTTTATCTACTACAGTCATGAATATTTTTTTCCATAAATCCCACCGGTCGTTAACATTTAAAAGACAATCTAAATTTGACCAGGGAAGATTACTTAGGTCATTTATAAAGCTATCAACATTAAAATTTTTCATATTTCTTACATTGACCACTTTATGCATATGTTTGTTCATCATAGGCTTTATAGCTACTTTCCGTATGGCATAAATAAGATCACGGTCACTTATTCCTAAGCGTATAACACCAGATGCAGCCACTTTACTAGGACAATTTGTGTAAACGACATCAATTAATGTTCTGGTGCTTGCGCTACATCTTGTAGGTTCGTCAATAAGTTGCTGAAGCTGATAAATTTGCGCAAATGAATTTAAAAGCGAAGTTGCCCTATGAGACCTGTCACTTAATAAGTCACAGTTTAGATCACCGAATATAAATATATCTTTTGACTAGTGTTCAATCTGTTTGATTATAGTCGTCATTTGGTCAAAGAATAACTCAGGAGAAAATTCCGGTGGCCTATACGATGCAACAATCGCAAATGGTTTGCTGTTTGGTTTTATAATTTCGATAATTATAGCTTCAATATCTGGATTAATTAAATCATGTCGAACTCTATAATTGATATGACTTTTTATATATATGCATACTCCTCCCCCATAGCGATTTCGGTCTTTTCTAACAAGTTCATAGTTGTTTATTTTAAGTTGGTTTGTGGACAAAGTGTTGTCCAGTCTTGTTTCGTTAAGTGCTATTACGTCTATGTTCTTGTTGTCAAGCCATGTTCGAAATTTGTCAATGTGTAATGGTAAACTGGCTATATTTAATGAGACCATTTTAAAACCTCTTACCTGTGGGAGATCAAGTTTGTCAGCCATATAAACATCATCGCTTCTATCTCAACTATTTAAATTAGACAAATAGTTTTTAAAATTTTTTGCTAAGCTGATTGTTCCACGCAGATTAAGATGTAATTTCCTTTTGTTTAGACAGTTCGAGTCTATATTTTCATGCGAAATTATTTTCCAGTTTCGCGATTTGGCGAATGAATGGATGATTTTATTAACCTCTTTCCGCTTTTGATCAAGTTCAATGGAATCGTGTCGGGCAGTTAATTCCGATATAGCCACTGTAGTTTTTGGTGATTGTTGTTCGATCTGTTCACAGATCTTTACAATTTTCTCGGCTACATCGAGTGGTTCATCAGTACGCAGGTTGTTTGTACCAGTATGCAGAATGATATTGTCTGGTTTCCACTTGAGTGTTGGTTTGACGTAATCAGCCATGTCCTCAACTCTAGACCCGGGGAACGAACGAATAGTTGTTCTGTTCGATTTGTCAGACATTTTCCATCCAGCCAATTTGGAAATAATCGAGTCGCCCATTACGACTGTATTTGTTCGATTCTCGTCGTTAGGACCAACACCGGTTTCCGTAGAGATTGAATTTTCATCGTCCTGCGATTTGTCTTGTTGGACTTTTCCTTTATCAGCAGTAGGAATGGTTTGTTTGTCCTTGTTGCTTTTCTTATTTTTCTTGTTTTTATCTTCGTCGTGGTTTACGCGTTCAATTTCGCAATTAATTGGAAGTTTTTCAGCAACGGAAGCACTTTGGTCTCGCATGAGCAAGTTAATTGTTGTCACAAGACTTGCTCTCTCCTCTTCAAGTCGTCTTACATATTCATCTTACATATTCATCTTGTATTTTTATTTTTGTTTTTAAGTCTCTGTTCTTTAAGTACACTTTGTTGTGTTAAAGAAAAAAATAAAGTAATTTTTGCAGAGCTACTTCAAACACGTCTATGCACGATGGCCGGTTGCTCGAGTCAAATTGCCCGAGTACATTGGTTTCCGGTTTCCTAGCTGTAAATTATGGTGCGGTTCAAATACTGCGTCTTTGGCGCTCCTGTTTGCGTTTATTTTTCAACGTTTTAAAACGATACTTGCTCAATCTGTACTACATCGAACCGTCTATTAGCTCGTGTGCACAAATAACCTATACGGTTATTTGAAAACGGTAAAATGTTGGTGTTGTTGTGGCCATGTATTTTCGCCTTCTGAGCGATGAGAATCATGCCGAGAGGGACATGTCTAGGGGTCCCACAGCATCGCACGTGCATGGCCTACAATCCCCCCTTGAAAACCTTCCTGGGTTCGGAGTGTTGCCGGAATTATTAGCAGAAATAGCTACGAATTCGGCATTTTTCCTTGTTTTTTTTTAAATATTTTTGTTGAAACTTGATTTCGGAGAAACTTTTCAAGGCAAAGTTGAAGAATAGCATTTATTTAACAAGTCTAAATGGATAGCAGTGCCGGAGAAAGGTGTGGGAAAAAGTCTCTTTGACGAACGCATTTGCATTTTATACGCGTTCATGCTGCGCCATGTTGTTGCTTCACTTCCCGCTGTGTTGCCTTTTTAGTTCGATAGATTATTGCCATAAAAGTCAAACATGTGATCGAAATAAAGGACATCTAGGAGAGTGCAACACACGGAGACCACTACCCGATAGTTTTTGGGGGAAAGTTCTGTTCTTAAACTCATAGAAGCCAAGGAGATCTGTCATGCAAGTCACGCAAGGTTCATATTTGTTTACTTCACCTCATGCTGCGCGTCTTGAGTTAGCTGATTTCTTGACTTCGATAAAAGCTTATTGTGTGCCTTACGCAAGTTTTATTTACATTAATATAACTACAGAAGACCGAGTTATAGTTTACAAAAGAAATCAGTTGCACATGCCTTTATTTAAGCGGAGATGAGGGAGCCGTTTTCTCGCTATTAAAGACAACATGCCTTGGTAATCTGATATATATAGTGGTAGATGTACTATGATCTAAAACCATCATGAAAAACGTTTGGAATTGTAACTAAATGATAAAATTAAGTGTGCGTAAAGATATGAAATCTGTTTCAGGGAAAGCTGCGTATCTTAAGGAATTTAAATCACTAGTATACTGTATGTTACTATTATTTTATGCGGTTACGGATCTTGCGAAGTATAAATAATAAACTGTAGTAGGCTGTAGTATACTTCGCAGGTATGATTGCACTGTAGCTAAATCTGCTATATATATTGTCAAATGGAACTATGTGTTTATATATGAATATCTCAAAAACACATCGTTCACAAATATAATATGAAAGCATTTTATAATAGAACATATTCAACAAACAAATATTCTTGCGAGAACTATAGTATAGCTAGGTTTTTTGACGCGACTAACCAAAACAGTCAGTATGTTTCTCTGTCCGGCTGTCGGTATGTTACTTTAAATCGATATATGTTATGTATTAGCAGCATCAGATAATTTCCCCAAAATTACCTGCATATACTGATGAAGAAACACAAGTTAGGCGAAAAGAGGAACAGTTTGTACATTGGTTTGCGTTCCGTATTATGAAATATAATCTATACGGGAGCAAATATGATATATTGTCTGCGGCGCAGGCTAGAGGTATTCGACGGCAGTTAATAGTTCCGACCGGTTATTTGACAGCTAAATAAAATTATCACAATGGTTCCATTTAAATATGGAAGTTTATAAATCAGTTAAAATATACCAACAAATTTGTTTTAACTGCAAGAAATTTTAAGCCAAATACATGACCTTTCCGATTATAAGGTTAATAAACAACGCCATTTCGCATTCACACCAACACCGTCGGAAAAAACGAACCCGCGCTTCCGGGAGCAAAATGCATAGCAACCAACCACCGTGATGGTGGCCCATCAAGAGAGTGTGAGTGTGTGTGAGAGAGTGAGTGAGAGAGTGTGAGTGAGTGAGTGAGTGAGAAAGTGAGTGAGAGTTAGTGAGTGAGAGAGTGTGTTTAAAATCTTTATTACCTCCAATTTCTGAAGAGTATTTTACAAGAGTATATATCAATACACATATACACACACATACATACAAATAAAGCTAACTAACTAATTAACTAACTACTTAAATTGAAATTACACTATTTTGAAAACAAGATGAAATATAACATGCAGATTGCAATAAATATAATGTCCACAGTTCATATCAAAGCATAAAGTTTCTGATTGTAAGGCTAAAAGAGTAAGCATAAAATCTGTGTCCGATAATGTTGCTAAATAAACAGCAACCTGTAAAGGAAGATTATCGTTTACCCAGTCCCACAATAGTTCACGCTTGTTTTGCGAACCTAAGCAATAAAGCACGGCATGATTAACAGGATTTAAATAGTTACGATTACATGAGTCACAATAGTCAATGTACGTATTAGGATGATCCACACACTTCCCCCTGACCTTGTATGAGCCACAAATTAGTCTTATGATGTTATTAATCTCCTTCATGAAGGATGGATTCTTTCTTGCTATTATCCACCAATGAGAAACTTCATTCTTTGTATGAACCTTAGAGTAGAGATATAGTTGATTGTTCTTACTAATCTTTTCTCGCCAAACACTATCATATTGCTCTCGAACATGTTTATTGACATTCTTTTTCCACAGAGTTTTTATAGGGAAATCATTTGTGAGAATGTAAGTGATTAAAACTTGCAAAACGTCGTACTTTGCGAGAATTTCAACAATGTCTGGCACAAATCCGGTTAATTTTTTTCCACAGTTCCACTTCCACCTTAGTAACCTGATAAAGAAGACACGGCGGCATGGTGCACCGGCACCCATGTTTATCAATCTTCCCAGAAAATACAATTTTCGCTTATCTATCTCCGCTTCAACTGAAAGTAACCCGAGAAGTCCCTGTGCCGCAGACCCAGACGTTCCTGGTAATAGTCCCTGCATGATCCTGACCATGATATTTTGGACCTTTTCTAACTCAATATAGTTGTTCATTTTCAGCTGCCAGAGCTCTGATCCATACAGGAACTTTGGAATGCCAATCTTACGCCATAAATAAGACGAAACCATAGGATTTAAACCTCCGTAGCGAGTACCAACAGCCATCAACATAAAACAGACTTCTCTACCTGCACATGTTGCTTTTGAAACGATTTCCTTACTGTCTCTATTTGCAAGCCAAAGTTTTCCGAGATTTGACCACAACCCCTTTTCAGATAAAATCTGGGAACCAAGTTTCCAAGCTCTCAACCTATTGTTTGCTTCGTGTTCTTGCTGGCTCTCTCCAAATATTAATATAACTGTTTTCGTAACACTAAAATTAAATCTCCATTTTTGGCTGTATTCCCATGCAGTCTTTAGCATCCTGTCTAACCCGGATTTCAGGCGCGATAACATTGTTAAATCATCTGCGAACATGGGTGAGCCAAAATATAGTGAACCTAGGGAAATTCCTGCTTTGGTGTTTTTTAACTCCTCAATTAGATCGTCAATAAAAACAAGGAAGAGTCAAGGTGATAGCACTCACCCTTGACGTGTACCCTGATAAAGATTGTAAGTATGTGATGCTTTTCCTCCGATAAACACAAACTCTTTCATGTCTGTATACCAATTTTTAATAAGCCTCCATGTTTTCCCCGCAATTCCTTTGTTGTAGTGCAGCTTAAATAACATTGCATCAATCCACATAGTATCAAACGCTTTTGTAATATCCATATACGCTACGTAAACTTTTTTTTTCTTTTTCTTCGCGAAAATGATTTACTACTTCATCGATGACGAAACACGTTGTTAGAGCGTCCTGTTCTCTTTGGTAACCACCCTGAAGAGGTTGGTGAGAGTACTTTTCTTCCTTCTGCAGTCGTGATAATACAATTCTCTCAAGCATTTTATTTATGCAAGGCAACAAACTGATTCCTCTGTGATCGTCAAAAGTTCATGAAGTTTTATTGCCTTTAGGAATAGGGATCTTAATCACCATTTTGAAGGACTTTGGAATCTCTTCAAGCTCGATAATATAACTAAACAGTTTCAGTAGCAGTTCTACGATAATTTCACCTCCATATTTAATATGTTCATATGTAATTCCATCTATACCACGTGATTTTCCCTTAGGAAGAGTATTAATTACTGAAGTGATTTCCTCCGCTGTTATAGAAGAATTAAATGTATAGTCATACATGCCCTCCGAGTTCTTTAAAATTTCATCAACTTTACTTTTCATCGCTTCTTGGTCCACATGTTCCGGAGGGGTAGCTAACTTCTCGTAATAGTTTGCCCAGAGATCTGCGACTACTTGGGGGTTCGTAAGCACAGCATTATCCACCTCTAAAGCCACCACCTTTTGTTTTTTCTTTTTCCTATGTACTTTGGTTTTAATCAGTTTCCAATACGTCTCGTGATCTAACTCTATAGAATTGGCTATGTCATCGAATTCTTTTCTTTCGTATTCCCAAACAGCTCTACGTTGTGCCTTCCTATATTGTCTATAATAAACGTTTTCTGAGGCCCTTGGGGATCCCTCTTTTTTCCATTTTGCCCTCGCAGCCATAACGGAACGTTTCGCTTGTTTAAGACAGTTATTCCAGTATGGTTTTATATGTTTCTTATATTGAACCCGTGGTAGGACCATTGCCGCACTCTTTATTAAATTACTCAGCTCTTCATAAAAATTGTTAATGTTCGAAAAATCTTTGCTCAGCAGATCAGTTGCCGAGTTAACCAGTTTCTTATTGTAGCTTTGAAGGTGTTCCGTAGTGCAGCTTTTCCACGATATCTTTTCAAATAAATAATTCATGTCATCATTGCTGGTTTCTTCTTCCGTCACATCTGAGTGTAAATTTATACTAATAGTTACTCGTAAATGAAATGCTATGTTGTATGGGTGCTCTTTGAGTACTTGCACTAAGTCAACATACTCGATTACGTCGTTTCCGACAAAAATGTAGTCTACGATGGAATTTCCCGTATTTGAGAGGTATGTAAACTGGGGGGTTCTCACACCATGGAGACAAATTAACTGCGACCAGGTTCATTTTACTCAGAAATGTTTGTAATCTTTTGCCTCTATTATTCCAATCTTGGCTCAGCTTATCTTCCTTGATGTGTGTATTAAAATCACCTAGCAGTAACAACTTTGTTCCGCATGACTTGTGACGTACGCAAAACTGTTACAATGTATCTAAAGTTTTCATGTATTCTTTTAGATCATTGTTTCTTGAAGGCAAATATACTGCTACAATAACAAAATTAATATTCTCAATCTTCAATGACACTGATGCCAATCGATCAGACGCTGTTTGTATTTCTCGGACTTTAAGGGTTTTCTTTAAGAACAAAGCAACACGACCTTGACCTCTTTTCCACCTTTCCCTGATGTTATTATCCGAACTTGTACACGAAATAACACTAAAATTATCATTGAGACTGTCTAGAAATGACAATTCATCTTTGTACAGCCAATGTTCACTTAAAGCTAACACGTCTAATTTCTGCAAGCGTTTTCTTGCATAAATAAAATTGCCATATATTCCACTGCAATTCCAGCAACCCAAATTTAGTTTTGTTGGCTCGTATTTTGGTTATGTAATACACCTCTTTTTTCCCAACTTTGTTTTGACAGCCACTGCCTAGCATAGACATGATTTGGCCAAAAGTCATTGTTACATACACAATCTTCCTCATTAACGTTAACTCGGACAGCAGTTAAAAATTCGAATAAACGTTGGCGAAATGCCTTTTTGCTTCATGTATTCTTTAATTTTTTCTATGATTGTGCCCAGACGCACGCCTCCGAGCTCTCATGTTCGTTTAAATTATCCCCAGTAGCGGTTTTGTCTATTGCAGGAGTTTCTGCATTGGCTTTATCATTTGTTTCCTTATTTTGAATTACTGACTGTTCTGATTGATTGCCCGGGTTAATGTTTTGTTCTGTGTTGACGAGGGACTTGTTACTTTGATCAGTATTTGCAATTTGGTTTTGCATTTGACACGGAAGATTGGCTTTCTTTGTTTCCCTGTTTCGCCCACGAATTAGGTGAATGCTCATTAATGGTAACGACCCGAATTAAGAATTATAACTCGAATCTCCTGTGTTTTCTGGCTCATATAACCTTTTGTTTGTAGATTTTTTTTAGCTTTTCGATTTCTTTAAAACATTTGTTAGATTTTTCCTCAAGTTTGGCCAAAGTATCATGCTTATCTGCCAATTTCAAATTCTGACTCATTAAATTGTCAGACACGACTGTTTTTCCAGTTTATAATTTGCTTTAAAAGTAGCTATTTCGGACTCTAGTGAGCAGATTTAGTGTCCCTTTCGGAAATGCTTGCTTTCAGCTCCGGCGCACTATTCCTTTAAAGTCGAAATTTTGACTTCTTTATCGCACATATTTTTTTTTAAATCAGTAATTTCCTGCTTCATGCTTATCATAGCATCATCAAAATCGTCGTTTAGTTGATAATAATTCTCGTCTAGCTTTTCTAAAAGCGACGAGAATCGCTCTCGTTCGTCTTGGCTGCACTTAGGATTAATTAAGTTTTGAAATTCATCTGCATTTTCGGCCATAACATTCAAGAAAGATTGTACACCCTGAGATGGCGGTTTCAGAAATATATCATTAATTTCACTTGTCACCTCGCCTGAACTACAAAATTTCACCAGATTAAGTATATCCGTTGCTAATTTCTCAGTTGCAGGATGCCCTCCCTGTCTGTTCAATCGCCGGAATGGTTTATTCTTTGGAAATTGAGAAAACTTATGTTTACAAAGCTCAATGATCCCTGTCCTCGTACCATTTAGACTGATCGAACTGTACTTTAATAGTTTTTGTTTAACTTCCTCAGTTGAGGTATCTAGAATATCTCTTTCTATAATGTTTACGTATTTCAATATCTCTGTTACCTCAATATTTCCAGCTTTAATAGCCTTCAGAAAATCCTTGTATGCCTCATCGGATTTTGAACCCAAATCCCCTCCGACACCTTCGCCAATATCTCGGTCTTCACATGATGTATTCAACTCCGATAAGCCAGATTCCATCATAGAACCACTTTCTTCATTCAATTCCACTACGCGAGATAAAGACTCAGCCAAAATACGGCTGTTACTTCTGGTATTGGCGGAGCCTTGCAGGCCATGACTATCCGCCATTTTGAATTTTTTAAAAAAAAATGAGTGTGAGTGACTGTGAGAATGTGAGTGAGTGTGTGAGAGAGAGTGTGAGAGAGAGTGAGTATAATTCTTTAATGCCTCCATATTTGAAGATACGAATATTTACAATTATAAATAAATAATTAAAATTAATTTAAAAAAGACAAACAACACACAAACTAATGAATAGTTTCTGAATCCAAATAAATGTCAATGTAACTGGTTATTGTTATTATCTGTGAAATCGACTCAGCAACGATAATATAAAAGTTTTGTACTTGGTTATTATCATGTCCCTGCATGAATTGCATGTTTCCAAAGATTGTGTGCATCAAATTGTCCTCATCTAATGAGTTAATGTTTGCTGCGAATTCCACTGGAAAGAAATCTGTGATACGTTCCCATAATTTTGTTCTTGCTAATTGTGTTTCACAACAATGCAACATAGCATGTTTTACAGGATTTGTGTAGTAGTTACCACAAAACATACATAAAAATTGTGTTTTTTCCCCAGTAAATCTCACACCATTCACATAGAATGACCCACAAAGAATTTTAACAATAATTGCCACTTGGTTGGCCATCTTGCTGTTTTCGAGAGCAAACTGCAGCCACATGTTACGCATTGGTTCTTTTACGACTTGGCCGTATAAGCCTAATTGTTTATAACGTTGCGTTTTGATCTTCCAAAACTCAATCTCCGTATGATTAATATTCTCAATTACTGTTTTCTTCCATTAAGATTTGCTGGGAAAATTTCCAGACTGCAGAAAATTGTCCATATACTCCCACAAGCAATACTTCTGTAAGATTCTAACCAAATCTGGTACAAAACCAGTGATTTTGTTCGGATTCCATCTCCATCTATTAAGTCGTATCATGAATACCCTGCGATGTACACAGTCCTCACTTGCACATATTAGTTGTCTGAGAAACAGAAGCTTTCGTTTGTCTATTTCTGCTCCGACCGTCCAGAGACCAAGAAGTCCACGTGCAGCTGAACCCGAGGTACCACTAAGTAAACCCAGACATACTCTTAAAAATATATTCTGTACCTTTTCCAATTTTGATAGTTTTTCTCGATTAAGTGTCCACAACTCAGCACCATACAACATTTTCGGCAGAGCAATCCGTGCCCACAGCTTAGTCGCCACCAATGGACTCATCCCGTTAAATCTACATCCCAGATTTGCTAAACCAATACCGATAGCCTGACCTTTCTTCGCAGCCTCTAGTATTGGAAAAAGGCTGGAAACGTCGGTGTGCCAATCTTTTCCAAGATTATGCCAGATACTTTTCTCCATGATTTCTTTACCTCCTATAAGCCACCCGCGGTTCGTAATTGCAGATATGTTATCTCGTTTTTCGCCAAAGGTCAGCACAACAGTTTTTTTCTCATTAAAAGTAAGTCTCCATTTTAGGCTATAGTTATGAACAAGACCTCGTTTTAATCTTGACATTAACTCAATTCGATCCGCCAATATTAATTTCCGACGTATATGACGGGAAGATTAAATATTAAAGAACTTCGCGAGTATTTGCAGTAGACATACGAAAATACCACCAAAAAATTCCGCTTGATCGATACTATATATTCAGAAATATTCATATAATTTTATTGTTTCTCGCTCAATTTCAAGCGAATTCTTACCTTGAAATGATCAATGCGGTGAAATTTATGCAAATGACACATTATCAATTTTGCTGTTGCATTTTGAATGTTCCGCCTGATTCAAATGCTCGTCTTTTGCTTCTTTTCAACGTATAATAATAACAAATATACCAAAAGAATCGCCATCTTCCATTCTATAGCTCGGAGCAGTCTCGGGAAATTGCAAAATAATCTAAGCCTATTATGGCAATTCTCGTGGTCGGAAAGTGTTCGGCCAACTTTGGACGCCAAATTCTTGGTAAAGCATTACAGTTTCCTGGTAAAAGACTGCAGGAATCACTTCCGTAGTGTTTGTTTACCCTAGATACGGATTTTGATTGGCTTAGGCAGAAAAGCAAATCTTTTAGAGCAATTTTCCTGATTATCGCGCACGAGAACGCACGAGCGTTGAAATGTATTGTGTTGTAGTTTTGTTTGAATCGCATTCTGAAGACATTTCTGGCTTTATTTTGCAAACTGATAGTGCTAGTAATGATGGAATGTCTTCGTATGAAGACAAGTATCTCAGCCTGGCATTGGGAGTCGTTTCTGGAGTTTCAAGGCAAGTATTTGTATCATTTCTAGACAATTTCTATTTCAATGTTTTGCCGTTGCCATGGCGTTGTAAATTTATTTGTATTTAGTATAGCTTCACTAGTACGACCAAGTATGTCCTCATATCGCTTTTTTGTGTTGAAATAATCGTTTCATACTGAAATTGATAAATATAAATGGTATTTATTTATATTGTTGACGAAAATTTATGGTGTTTTAGGCATATGGTGTTTTAGGCTCTTATTCCTAGGCGAAGTAAAATGAGCCTTGAGGACATGTTTGGTTGTTTGTTACATACATAATAGCCAAGTATTCATACTTATATCTTACTAGTTTGGCTCTTATTATAATTTTAAGTGGCACCATATCTATAAAAGTTTTTATTTGCACTGATGAATATATTGATCCTGTTCCTATCTGCTGTTCCTGTTTCATAGCCTCAGGGAAGTAGAGTTCTGATGAGTCATGAGAACCCCACTCACCAACCCAGAGGGAAGGTAGGGGGATCAACTGTGAGCTTGAGTTCATTCGGCTCAATGAACTGTGAGCTTGAGTTCATTCGACGCTTTTTTACTAAGGGAATGCTTCAGGAGGTAGTTTCCTGGCCATACCAATACATATGCCCACATACAAATAACTCAAAAGTTATCCCTATATACTAATAAAAAAGGGTCTTGCAGTCCACCAACCTTGAGAGGTTGATTGCCTTTTAGTATAATATGCAGGTTTGCTAAAGGTCGACAGTGAGATTGAAAATTATTGGAGTGTAAAAACCTTATATCATGGTCTGTGGGCAATAGACATAATTTCTCGGGTTAGGTACAAAGCGCTTATGGCGTTTGTGAATATGGTAGATCCTGTACTAAAGACTACAGCAATAAACTGCATCAACAACTGTACCAGCCGTCACAGAATATTGTTGTTGCAGACAAACACACTGTCAAATCAAGAAATAGATTGGGGGTTAGTTCATGAAAGCTAGATGACCTACTATGTGGGGAATAAATCTGTGGGTTGCTGCAGACAATCCTAATGGTTATATTGCGACTTTGAAATTTATACAGGAAGAAGTCCAGATATTCATCGCAACAGATTTGGGTATGACTTGGTGATCTGATATCAGTTTGGTTACAGTCTTAGGACTTTGGTAGTACAATATAAAGGAAATATTTTCACCACATAATCCAATTATGTGCTTTGGCAAACATTACTGCTTTAGCAAACATTACTGCCTTGGAAAACATTACTTTTTTATAACTACTAATTATGATGATGCCAGCCCAACAACACTTGGTCATGCTATTTGCAAATATTTTCATGTTCTAGATTGTGAAAACAATCAATTTCTAAACAAATGAGTAGTGATTATTTCAAATTTGAATAGCATGACCAAATTTTGAGGCTGGTTATGCCACTAATAACTAAAGTCAATGGTGTAATGATTATTTAAGAATGTATGTAGTAATTGTAGAAATAAAGACATTTTGCTAATCATGATTTGAGTGTTCTTTTGTGGGTATCACAGACTTATTTTGGTGCCATACTATCTTTGGAGAGTAAGAAATATTGGAAATTTGTATTGATAACATGTTGCAGCAATAAAGAAGGACCTTTGATAAAGGTATTTGTTTCATGTGAGCACAAAATGTAAATTTTACTCCACTAGTTTATATAAAAATTCAATAAAAATATTTCTATTTATGCTACATGCATGAAAGTTCAGGTACTTGTAGATCATAACCGTGTCTTTCAGTCATATTCATAAAATTTTTTGACATATTTGAAATTTGAACCGCTAAATACATTTATGCATAATTGCAACATTTTTTTATATCATAATTTATGCAAATTTATGCGAGTAAATCGTTAACCAAGCTCCGCATGGAATTGAAATTGGTATCGTTGGAAAGCAGAAGTCCTCCTCTTTCGAACGATGCAATTTCTGTTTCCGTGCGATGTATAGTTTGAGAGATATAAGCGTTTGAAACAACACCACTCGAAATTGCTACTTTTCGACCGGATGAGAATGAGTTAACGTAAGATTGTCAGCAAACAATGGTGATCCAACAAACAAATTTTGAATAACTATACCAGTGGATAGCTTTTCCAGCTCGCTTATCATGTCATCAATGAAGAGAAGAAATAGCCATGGCGATAATACCCCACCTTGTTGAACCCCCTGTAAGATATTATACTGTCTGGAACGTTTACCATTATAAAAGACATATTCCTCCATGTCTGAGTACCAACCTTTTATTAGCCTCCAGCACTTTCCTCTAATATTTACGTTGTGATATAATTTAAACAACATACCATGTGTGAGTGAGTGAGAGAGAGAGCAAGAGAGCGAGAGAGAGAGAGCAAGAGCGAGAGAGCAAGAGCGAGAGAGCAAGAGCGAGCGAGAGAGCAAGAGAGAGCAAGAGGCATTGGCACTTTTGTAACCTAAATGTGGCACTTTCGTAACCTCGTGTGGCATTTTTGTAACCTCGTGTGGCATTTTTGTAACCTCGTGTGGCACTTTTGTAACCTGTGTGGAACTTTGGTAACCTGGCATGCATGTACACACTTCGTATCTATTTTTTTCAAGGCAAAAAACAAGACGGCGGTAAGAAAGAGTTATTTTGTTGACAGGTCATATTAGAAAGCTTTAAAAAGCTTCCCTGTCATATTGTTATACCAGAATATGGTTTAAAAGCTTTTGGTAACGTCGTGGTTGAAATGAAAATTATTTTTGTGATGGCATTATTGGCATACTAGTGGAAAGTTTGTTGAAAAAACACCAAAATGCAAGTGTCAATTTAAACATGCATAGCGTGACAGGTATGGAGTATTCATTTCTTTACTTTGTTATTTAATATTGTATAATCAAGAAATCTAGATGTACAAATACGTACTTAAGCTTGTTATTTTCGCGAGTTAGTAGGCATTTATATGGCATCTCTGTCATTTTTTGGACCGAAGGCAATTGCACGGCTTATAGCTTTCATTTATACTATACTATACTATACTCTAGTTTGTTGTGTTGTTTTAACAGCAGTTCTTTATTTTCATAACGGTGTTCCTTGGCTTTTGATGTTAGGATTATGATACTTGGTGGATTTATATAAAGTAGAATCTTTTGGGTCCTGTCACTATTAAAAACAAAGGCTATTAAATCCATTGTAAAAATGCTCTTACTCTGGACGTCTAAATACGTACAGTGCTTTGATGTGATGCTCTTTGGATTTTAATAGCCTTTGATCATAAAAGCAGCTGGCCACCTGCAATTTGTTCATGTAGACTACTTGCATTTAACATTCAAATTTTAAACTTATGCCAGGTTGCCTAATACTGTAGTACACAAACCTGACAAAAGTTATAAATGGCATGCACACCCTAATACAACATTTGAAATATGACTGCTTAATGCTTTTTGCTGCATTCAGGGTGTCACACACATTTTATTAGACATTTAGTCCCAAAGGTGAATATACTATACAAAACCAAGCCAGTATTTATACGTTTTAAATGGAAAAATTGGACCAAGTTGTGCGGTACTACCATTCATGACAACCAAGCCAGCAACTAGTTGTTTTTACCATGCAGTTATAGACAACCCAAAGCTGCCAATTTTGACAAATTTCTCAGCCATTGTGATACAATAACTTGATTAATTGCTATTTGCTAATAATTTGTGTGTTAAATTCTTTTGGAAACCCTGTTTTCCACTGATATTGTACTATGCTTAAATTAAAGACAGTGTATGATTGGTTGGGTTACAGCAATTTGGTTTGTTTTTTCAATAACAGGCATAATATTAGTGCTCCAGGCAAAATAAAATATTTTTTCAGGGAAGTTAGAACTGCAATACTGGTCAATACCGTTACTACATATATTAAAATACACCAAATTTTTCAATAATTACCCCCAAAATAAAAATATTACAAAATACATGGTTGCTTGTGGAAAATGTGAGGTCAGGTGACTTAGCCTTCAAAATATGTTTTGGTTAACTAACTTGAATAATGTGAAATGTGAAAATATGCCTTAAGTCTAAATATGACTTGGTCGCAGGCTATAAACTGAACCTCAAACAATAACGGTCTGATGGAATTAAACCAGATCTTAATTCATATATTAAACAGAATGAATGTTTGGAAAGATTATACAATGAATATATAGTTCATTGATAGTATTATGGCTTTGTCGGCAGCTTATGTATTGGTTTTGTTATATGATTATAAGGTGTTAGTTATCTTCATAAAACATCATAAA